TTCCAAGTTGTTACCACCAAATATTAGAGCCCTGCATTATATTTGAAAAAATTAAATAATGATAAATCTGCATAAATGTATATATATTTCTCGCATTGTGATAAAACAATGGTACCTAGAACCATCAAATTTCGGATGGACGTCGCAACAAATAAATAAACAAAATTACACCATCGGATAATCTTTCTGGGATATAATAATAATATATTTAATGTTCGGCAACGCTATTTTTTTCCATACTTCGTAAAACTTGCAAATTTTTTATTAACAAACTCTACGATTTGAAAGCGAGCAGTGGCAACACTTTTTCGAAATAAAACAGAATTTTATCTCCAGCATAACAAACTGTTGCCACTCGGAAAAATAAGCTGGAAAATTAGAGTTTTCAGACTTTTTAATTAATATCTCGGATGATTAAAGCAGTACGAAGATGAGAATGGTCGAAATGGCTTTCCACGAATTTTCGGAATCCGGGGGGGGGGAGGAATACTCAACTCAACTAAACTCAACTCTCCGCCGTTCCGGAGAAAGTGATGTCATAAAAACAAATAGACAGACACGCGCATATTTTAATAGTGTAGATTTTCAATAAAGAATTTTTTAATTAGTAATATTGTTACGAACTTTGCATTTAGTTAGATATTTGTAATAGAATCATAATTAAAATTGTTTTATTTCCTCGTGCAATGCAGCGCGTGACGAATTTAAAGAGAAATCAAAAATTAAAAATAAGCACGTGCATTTAACGTTTAGTAAATAAATATCTCTTTTAATTTATGTTTAGTTCGAATAAATATAATTGACTAAATTGCTAGAACTGTCTCGCGCGCCGATTTAAAAAGCTATAAAAGCCGGAGAGAAACATCTCAGCTCATTTGTTGTTTAGATAAATGTTGTTTGTTGACTAGCGAATTCGCGGTGAGATTAGAACTGCGCTTTATATTGCGTTCTGTTATTAATATTTTAGTGGTTTAAAATATAGCTACTGTTTATATTGCGTGATATTGTGATATTGCACGAATGTCTTCGAGGAATACTCCAGCGTTTTGTTATATTTCTTGTTATTAGAATAAATTTTTTTAGCTTTTCATCCGACTTCTGCATTCAAGCTATTACGAACACCTACGCATGCAACAATACTTTGTTACGATTTGCGAAATAACGCAACTGTAATATTCTTTTAGTTCATTATCTACCGCATTTAAAGGAATCTTTTGTAGATCTAAATGCATATGTGATGGTCTTCCTCGGTTGGAGATACCTTAAGCATTGCGCCCTCAAGTTCCGCAACAGCTTTTGCAACGGAATGCGCCTAAGTTAAACAAAAGATGTAAACGCGCGCAGCAGTCCGCAAAATCAAGTGCGAAGTCCATAAGGTGCCCCAACCCGAACGAACGCCAGATGTCGAGCGAAGAAAATGTTAAATCATTTTTATACATCGCGAGTCAAGCAACTGTTAGAAGGTTTTTATTGCTTAACGCTAGCGTGGGAAAACTCTTCTCTAACCACCTGCTTCTCTAACTCGCAACTTCTTTACCGCATTCCTTGGTCTCTCCCCCCCCCCTCGTTTTTTTTTAATCTCTCCCAACCTCTTTACTCTGTACTCTGCTGTGATCCGCATGCCAAACAGTGCATTGATTTTAATACTAACAAAACAAACGAAATAAACAAAATTACTATGTTTAATAGTTAGCGAAGAATATTCAATCAGCACTGATACTGTTTGCATGCTTTTAGTAAAATTATGCAAGCTATTATCTTTTCTGCATTTCAGTTATCAGTAAACCTTTTTCTTGGGTTTTAAAGTTTATTTGTGTATTGAGGGGCACGAGACACACGAGGGCTATCAGCCTAAGGAAGGTTTGTTTTGGTTTGTTTATTTGATTATAGCAAAGTATATAAGGGCTAAGAGGAGGACTGTCTTCGTGAACAACTTTATCAGGAAACTGGCTTGTATTCTGCGTCACAGAATTTCAATACGTATGAAAATTATTACTACTATACATTCATTGCTGATTACCGTATCAAAAAACAAGTTATTTTGCTATAAACAATTCTTTAAATTACATTACAATTAAAAGATCCCATACGTTTATATTGTTGGGGGGGGTAATTCAATTTTTTTTTTTTATCCCAAAGGGGGCAATTCACCAAGAAGAGCTAATTTCGTTTTGGCATTTTGCGTCGTCCACTATTTCACTTTTCAAATTTTTGCCGCTAAATATTACAGCCCTGCATTACGTTTAAAGAAATTAAATAATGAAGAATCTGCATAAATGTATGTATGTATGTTTCTCGCACTGTGAAAAAAATAACGGTACCTAAAGACATCTGATTTTGAGTAACGGAGTACTCCACTCGAATATGGGCATCTGGAAGCCCAAATTTGGAATTTGGAATTGGTTTTATTATCTATTTCTTATTTTCTAAAACTTTAACGAATGTTTGATTAACAAACTCAAGGATTTCAAAGCTAGCAATGGGAACATTGTACGGAAATATATATATCCAGTGCTCGAGACTTTATATCGGAAATTCTAAAGCTATGCTCTTTTTAAATATTTTGTGATATTGCTGTTGAACTGAATTTCGTGGTTTAAATGCGAAGAACATGATATTTAATAAATAAAAGTAACTTTTGGGTCTCATCTCAAATAACACACGGGCATCTGGACACCGGAATACGGGCATTGGAATTTGTTTTATTATCTATTTCTTATTTTGTAAACATTTTTACCTCCAGCGCACGCCAGACTGTCTAACGGAAATTCTAAAGATATGTTGTTTTTGAATATTTTGCGGTCTTGCTGTTGAATTGAATTTTAAATAGTTTAAGTGCGAAGAACGTGATATTTAATAAATAAAGGCAGCACACAAAACATTAAAAAGCGCCCGCTTCGTAGTAATATAAAATGTGAAAGCTTTCAGACTTTTATTTATTTATTTTTATTTATTTTATTTTAGTCCAAAGAGGCTTTGTGCCTGGTGCAAAATAAAGACTATTCACCTGAAGGAACTATTGTTTTCGTTTTGCGATTTTGCGTTGGTTCACTATAAATGTCCGTTTCACTTTTCAAACTGTCGCCACCAAATGTTAGACTCCTGCATTATATTTGAAGAAATTAAATTATGAAAAATTCTGCATAAATGTATGTATATTTCTCGCGTTGTGATAAAACAACAGTACATAGAGCCATATCAAATTTCGAATGGCGTAATACTACAGCGAATACGAGCATCTGAAAGCCCAAATTTGGAATTTGGAATTTGTTTTATTATCGATTTCATATTTTGTAAATCTTTAACGAATTTTTGATTAACAAACTCAAGTATTTCCAAGCCAGAAATGACAACGTTGTACAGAAAAGACATTTTTATCTCCAGTGCGCGAGACTCTGTATCGGAAAAATTCTAAGATATGCTCAATTTAAAACTATCTTGCGATTGCTCTTGAACTGAATTTTAAGGTTTTAAGTGCGAAGAGCGTGATATTAGATAAATAAAGGTAACACCACAAAATGTTAAAGAAACGCCCCTTTGAACGAAATTGAAAATCTGAAACCTTTCAGATTTTCTTTTTCTGGTTCTCTCTCTCTCTCTTCCCCCCTTTTTTATGATAACATTTCAGGAGGCTAGAAGCACAAGTGACCTGCAATTTCGACACGCGTTCTTAAGAGATAATTCAGAAATACTTTCAGAGATAGTCGTGTTTCAGAGATAATTATATTCTCATTCAGACACATTTTCGGAGATGGTCGTGTTTCTGAGACGATATAGCCACGAGAAAAATTCCTATTGTTGTTAATACCGAGGCTGTTCACACATTTTTTAGACGATGTATATTGTATTCACAATATTAAATTACATAAAATTCTTGTGTTTTAAATGTTCTGTTTGACATCCCTTACTCTGAACTATCTTTCGACATCGCAATTTCCAGGATAAAATGCCTTTTGAAGTGGCAGAAGAGGTTTTCTATTCCATTTCTCCCGAACAGCTTTCCAGAGTCTTGTTAGGGTTTTGGGACAACGTTTGCATAATGCAGTTTTTAAAAGTCCGAAAGCACAAAAATCCATATGTGACACATCGGGAGATTTAGTAGGGATATCAGTGAAGGTTATACCAGTTTGATACCAGTCTTTTGTTCCATTTCTTTTAGGAAATTTACAGTGGATTTTGATGTGTGACTGCTAGCTTTGTCCTGATGGAGTCTCACAGATGAATGGCACTGTGGGTAAAGCGATGGTATTTCATTCAGAAAAATTGGCGATAAAATATGTTCTTGGTAGTATTTGGAGTTAATCTTGACATTTTTTTGCACTCTCTTTATTTTTAACTTGCCATTATAAGAAAAACCAGCAACAATCATGAATCCCTTAGAAAAACTTTCTTTCGATTCTTTGAACCATGTACTTAAATTGTTTCTCCCCTTTTATGATAATAAATTACTCTTTTTTTTTTTTTTTTTTTTTTTTTTTTTTTTTTTTTTTTTTTTTTTGTTACAATCATTTAATTACACCCATGCTTATATCCCCTATTGCGAAAATTGTTTTCCATTTTTCTTTGGATAAGTGTTTCTCGTATAGAATTCTGCAGCGTGTCCTGCGTCGAGCGATATGCTTTGGAAGAAGACAATGCACATTGCGTTTGTTCGCTTTCTTAAGATTTAAATCAACGTTTATCATTTTGTTTACAGTGGACATCGAGCATTTTAATGGTTTTGCAACTGTCCTTTGACTACGGGGATTTTCTTTTAACATTAACATTTTATTTTTCCTTGGACACTTGTTTGAAATTTTTGTCCCCCTTGAGGCTCCAATTTGATGTTTTTTTCCTTTCTTGTTGATGATATTACCTATCGACGCTTTACATATCTAAAAACCATGACTCTCACATCATGTTTGGATAACGGAGTACGCATATTTCTGTTCGGAAAGAGCGTAAATGTAGACTTCGAACCACTGCTTTGTTAAATTCGCCATTTTGAATAAAAACAAAACTTTCAAGCCACAGGCGATGATTTTGACTTTTAAAAACATAGTACAATTGCAATTACTTCTTTTGCAGCAAACGATTTTTTATTACCGCTTACCAAAATCGTCTAAAAAATGTGCGAACAGTCTCTGTATTTACAGGTATTCTGAGAGATGACCATTATTTCAAAGTTTCCTCCAATATAAAAAGCTGAAAAATCTTTATCTAATTCAGTCTTTCTGAACACTTTTATCCTGGAGAAAACTTTAAAAAAAACCTTAACGGAAACTTCACAGCATCTTTCGAAGAACCCATCCGCGAAAAAATATTAAAAATATCGCTCGAAGAGCCCTGGGCTTCTGCAGAACCTCGGATTAGAAAATATAATCTAGTACCAGTTCCAGCTCTTATCGAGCAAAAAAATTCCACTGGAAATGCAGGAATGGGAGGGAGGGATTTCAGGGTGGTCCGAAACGAACCAGTATGTGATTTATCTGTATAACTGTTGACTCAAAAGTGCGGCTGATAACACTTATCGCCAAATGGATACATAAAAATGACACTGAGAAGAAATCGCGCAGCAAATAAGCTCTTGTTGATAAACAAAAGTGGCATCAAAAGGTTAGACAAGATAGTACTTGCTTTCTGTAGTCGTAGTTCTGGCGGTTGAAGCGATCACGTTTAGTGATTGCAGCAGAGGAAGTTTCAGAATCCCATGACTTATCAGATAAAATGCTTATAGATGTTAGATGTAAGATTGTTCAGTAAGTGTCGCAAGGGAAACGAATTCTGTTGTGGACACCACGTGACTTTTTTTTTTTTTTTTTTTTTTTTTGCTGCATTTCATTTAAACTCATTTCTTCGAATTGTTGTAACTTGACTTCCCAATCCCTCAGTGCTAGTTGAAAATGACATAAAAAATTTCAAATATTTGAAATATCCTGGTGAATTTTTGCCATAAGGAAATCATATGTGATTTTCCAGCCACATCAAGAACTTAAAAAAAAAGTATGTTTTAAAGACTTTCAAATTAGACTCTGGATTTAATTTACATTAATGTATTTTGTTGAGACATTTCTAAATTACATTTTCACGCCATTTATTAGCCCAAAAGGGTTAGCCCAGAAGGGGTATTAATTTCCTTTAGGCATTATGTGTCGAAAACTTTAAAAGGTTGTATCAGTTTCCAAATTTTTGCCATCCAATATTATCCCCCTGTGTTATTTTAAAGAAATTAAATGATGAAGAATCTGCATGAATGTATGTATGTTTCTCGCACTGTGATAAAACACCGGCACCTAGAGCCATCCAATTCTGAATAACGTATTTCTCCACCAGAATAAAGGTATCTGGAAGCCCAAATTTGGAACTGGGAATTTCAAATTTGTTTTATTATCTGTTTCATATTTTGTAAAACTTTAACGAGTGTTTGATTAACAAACTGAACGATTTCAAAGCGAGCAATGGCAACACTGTACGGGAAAAAAAAAAAAAAAAAAGCAGTTTTATCTCTTACTGTGTATCGGAAATTCTAAAGGTAGGCTCATTTAAAAATTATTTTGCGATATTACTGTTGAACTGAATTTTTTGGTTTAAAGGGGAAGAACATCATATTGTTACGTTTTTCTTTTCTGACACCAGATGTTACATTATTTTCTTCCTTCACGTTCGTACGAGGTTCGTGTGGGTTTGCAGTGAAAGACGACGACACTTGATGGAATACCGAAAGACACTTTATTGGCCGGTATTAATCAGGCCAGTTCCAAAGTCACTTTTTACAGTTGTCGAAGACCTACTCCAAACACGCTGGAGCAATCAGCGACACAGCCTTCACACTGTCAGGCAATAACGGTGGAGACAGCTTCACTGCAAAGCACCAGAGTACAGCTCCCGACACTGCTCTGTTGTTCTTGGAACTCCACGTACTCTCGAGACTCTCCACGCTACAACTCGCGATGCACTCGACGACGCACAGAGCACAGCTCCCGACTCTTCGGTTCAGTCGTTCCCGGAGCTTAACACACTCTCTCGACGATGCACTAACCGCGATACGCTAAGAGACTCTTCCGATGCACTCAACGACCCACTCGGCACTCGCTGGCCGGCTGTCAACTCAGTCGTCTCCGCACGGACTAACTAGATGAGACACACACACTGACTGCGGACCAGCAAGGTTTATATAGCTTTCGGCTTGTGTTCGAGGACATTCTGGGCTAGATCGGTAAGAATTCGTTCCAGAAAGTTCTCCATCCGTCCAAGGCATATCGCCAAATTTGTCGCCAAATGGGCGATTTCTCGCCAAATGTGGCAACCATGCCTTCCTTTGCCATTTTATGGCAACCCTAAAAACTGCTTTGCGGGGAAGCCATCTTTCTGCGCCTGTACATTTCGTAACAATATTTAATCAATAAAGGCAATCCACAGAACGTTAAAAAAAACGCCCCTTTGGGCGTAATATAAAATCTGAAACCTTTCAGAATTTTTTATTTTTTTACCTTCTAGCTTTAAGTAATTTAACAACAAACACCTAAGCAATTTATTTATTTATTTTCAGAAATGTTAGAGAACCACAAGGAGAGACTTCGAAGGTCAGCTGTCGTCTGCGTACCACAGATGTAGAAACACTGTCTTAATACGCTGATTATTCACGAGGCCTGTAAAACTGTGAGTTCATTTATATTTAACTTTCAAGTTATGACAGTATATTGATTATTCGAATGACAAACTTAGATGTTTAAAACTATTTTGCGTAATTAGTAGTAATATTATTACTATATTTTCCATTAATGTAATCAACAAAGAAAACGCGTCTGATGCTAACTTCATGTAATTCCATTATTTGTTTCCTCTTTAATTAAAGCCAAGGAAATGATAATAACATGTAAGAAATGCATACCAACATGATCGAAACAAAACTTTCCGCTGGAGTTATTTTGAGTACAAAGGTTCTGTACACTTGATACATTGCAGTGAGTCATAAATAAGACATATTTGAGTTTAATTTTCTGGAATTGACCTGACCACTTTTTATTTACCAGACTAACGTAAGACTGAACGTTGTCTAATAAACTAGTAATAATTAATCGGTAAATCAAGCTTGTTATTCAGAGAACTTGTATTTCCTAGTTTCTGAAAATATTATGTTTACATGATAATAGCCTTTTAAATATCCTTTCAAATTTTTAACCGAAAAAATTACTACATGTTTATAGATTTCACGACATATCTGGAGCATTCGGGGGGAGGAATCATTCCTGTAATAGACGCAAGCGGATAATAAGCAAATATAATAAAAAGTAAATTTATGCAATAAGGACTGCCACATAAACTATGAGAACAGTTCTGTTTGGCACTATTTCAAAAGAATTTACATCAATACATTTCAGTAGATAAAAAGGGGTGATCTCTCATTTTCAGAAAAAAAAAGAAAAAAAAAATTCTGACAGAAGGTTGGTGTATTTGGTGTATTTAATTATGGCAAAGCACACGAGGGCTATCTGCCTAAAGGGAGGGATGCCTTTCGTGGAGGACTTTCTAAGGGAAACTGGCTCGTATACACGTTACACATGGGGAAAACCACGAAAACGCCCATGCACCCAGCCCGTTCGCGGGATTCGAACCTCAAACCGAACTACCAGTGTTCAGCGTCTTTACCGCTCGGCCGCTGGTGGGCCCCTGACAGAAGGTAACAATACAATAAATTGCTCCTGAGAGAAGAAGACCATGTTTGTTGAAATGAACCGGAATGGGGGCTAATTTTGTCATTCGTTAATGATCAACTATCATCGGTTTGAAAACTTTTACAAATTTTTTCCTTTCAGACTTGATAAATAAAAATTAAGAAAATATATAAAGAATTCTTAGTTCTCTGCCCTTCTGAAGGCATGATACAGTGGATGGACAAAAATATGGAAACACCTTGTGAAATGTATGTTTGAAAAGAAAGATTGATTTTAATGAAATATGTAGGTGGCGCTGGCGTTTTTGACTACTGACGCCACCTATACAACTTCGTAAATGTGCTAAACAGTTCAGTTGTTGTCGGAGTACTGTTATGTGAGGTTGTCATTGCATTATGTCAGAGTTAACAGACTTCGAACGTGGGCAAATTGTTGGAGCACGTATGGTAGGTGCTTCCGTAAGCAAGGTAGCCGAGGTGTTTAGTGTTTCAAGAGGTACTGTATCGAAGATTTATTCCGCATATTTGAAAAGCGGAAAAACATCATCTGCTAAATCACAGCGCGGACGAAAGTGTGTCCTGAGTGATCGTGACAGACGATCATTAAGGGCAATTGTGACGAAAAATAAGAAGACCACAGCTGCAAAAGTTACTGCTGAAATGAATGTTGTGTTACCGAACCCTGTGAGTACCAAAACAATTAGAAGGGAGCTTCATAAACAGGGAATTGCTGGCCGTGCTGCAATTGAGAAGCCACTCATCAGTGATGCTAATGCCCGTAACAGGAAAAGGTGGTGTTTAAGTCATAAAGCCTGGACTATAGAGCAGTGGAAGCGAGTAATATGGTCTGACGAGTCTTCTTTCCCATTGTTTCCCACTTCTGGCCGAGTTTACGTCTGGAAAACGCCATCTCAAGCCTATAATACAGACTGCTTGTTGCCAAGAGTGAAACATGGCGGCCATATCGTGGTTCTCTGCTAGCCCCATGATAACTGTGTCAGGGCACATGACTGCCAAGACTTATGTGAACATTTTTGGCCGATCAAGTTCATCCCATGGTACAAACTTTGTTCCCCGATGGTGATGGTGTCTTCCAAGACGACAAAGCCCCTGTTCACACAGCTCACATTGTCCAGGACTGGTTTTCTGAGCACGAGGATGAGTTGTCCCATCTCCCCTGGCCACCACAGTCACCAGACCTGAATATTATCGAACCTTTGTGGTCTACATTGGAACGGAAAGTGCGTTCTCGTTATCCACCGCCAACATCGTTATCTGAACTTGCCACCGTTTTGCAGGAAGAATGGTATAATATTCCCTTGGCAAACATACAGGAACTGTATTTATCCATTCCGAGAAGACTGCAAGCTGTTTTGGATGCCAACGGGTTTCCTACACCATATTAAGCAAAGAAACATGTTTTTTTAAAGGTGTTTCCATATTTTTGTCCAAGCCCTGTAGCTGTGTAAACTGATAGAAAGTTTAATGTTAGTAGCTAATAAAATCTTAAAATGTGCTGTAATATTTCGAGCTGGTTTTAAAAAGGTAAACTGATGTATAAAATTCGTAGAATAAAAACCGTTCATAATTTTTTAATTAAAAATTTTTTTCCCTAAAGAAATATATTATTATCATTATTACTATTAATATTATTCATTATATATTATTTTTTATACTGCTGCATTTTTAGCCCAAATGGACAATTTATCCAAAAGGGCTATTAATTCCGTTTTGGCATTTTGCGTTCGTTCACTATAAACGACGTTTCGCTTGTCAAATTGTCGCCACCAAATATTAGGGCCCTGCGTTATATTTAAAGGAATTAAATCATGAAGAATCTGCATAAATGTATTGTTGCGTGCATAGAACTGACTGAATGCACATAACAGACTGAATGCACAAGTCCAGTAAAAAGTTAACATTTATTCTTATCCCAAGAAATATAACAAAACGCAGGATTTTCCCTCAAAGATATTAGTCCAATATCACAGTATCACACAGTAGTTATATTTTAAACTACACTCATGTCCATAAATTAAGGATAATTCGGAGTGACGCAGAAATCGAACTCTAAAATAAATATATCACCTGTAAAATCACTACACACATCTTCAAGAATCACATGCAAATTTTAGGAAGTAACCAGATGACACCGATGGTACGTCACAATGACGAGAGTGTAAGAGAGTGATATATAAGGAATACAGGCGAAGAAGTAAAATTGTTCGCAGGCGCTTTATAAGCATTTCAGTGCAATAACCTAATAGTTATGACACAAAGGACGCATTTGGATGATTTTTTACGTGGTAGAATAATCGGCCGTCTGGAATGTGAGCGTACCCAACTGGAAGTATCAAACGAACTTGGAATTGCCCAGAGTGTCATCTCCAGGCTTTGGCAACGATTCCCAAGATGATGGTAATGTGAGTAGACGTTACAGCACAGGTCGCCCCAGAGTTACAACGCCGAATGAGGACCGGTATTTGGCAGTTACTGCCAAAAGAAACAAGCCAAGTACAGCCTCAGACCTGTCTCGTCAGCTCTCTTCAGCCACAGGTACGACATTTTCAAGGCAGACCGTGTACAGACGCTTAGGGCAGATTGGTCTATATGCTCGTAGACCTGTCAGATGCGTTCCACTTACTGCAACTCACTGTCGGCTTCGGTTAGCCTGGAGTAGAGAGCATGCATTGTGGACACCACAACAGTGGGCCTGTGTGATGTTTTCCGACGAGTCCAGGTTTAGTTTGCAGTCTGATTCTCGCCGGACTTTCCTATGGAGAGCTCCAGGTATCCGTTACCACCAAGAAAACATCATTGAACGACACCGTGACGGTGGTGCAGGAGTGCTCGTTTGGGGTGGAGTTATTCTGTGTTCCAGAACTGACCTGCATGTTCAAATTGGAACCATGACAAGTCAAATCTATCGGGACGTCATTCTGGAACAACATGTACGTTTGTTTCGGGGCGCCATGGGCGCACAATTTGTGTTTATGGATGACAACGCCCGTCCTCACCGTGCAAACATTGTAAGCGAATGCCTTTAATAGGAGGATATCACCCGTATGGACTGGCCAGCATTCTCACCGGACTTGAATCCAGTAGAGCACGTGAGGGACATGCTTGCCGACGAATTGCAGCCCGTCAACCTCCTCCTACATGTCTACCGGAACTTCGGAGGGCATTGCTTTTTGAGTGGTGTAATGTCCCCGAAGATCAGATCGATAATTTGATGCTCAGCATGCCTAGGCGTTGGACGGACTGTATTGCATCGTCTGGAGACATACAATGTATTAACAATCGTACCAACCATGTAATATTGGTTTTTTGTAAATAGGTTTTTTTTTTTTTTTTTTGTAATTTGCTCCAGGGAGAAAAAATCGCTAATTTTTTTTAAATATCAAACATATAGCATCTTTTTTGCTCTTTACCTTTTGTTTAATAAATAAGCTTTACAAATAAGTCAAATTTGTTTTGATTCTAACTCTTCCTTTGCCTGATTTTGCATTATCCTTAATTTATGAACATGAGTGTATTAAAACGTTAAATAGAACGCAATCCAAAGCGCAGAGAACGCTAATCCGCTTTCACCGCGAATTCACTTCAATCAACAGCAACTAAGTAAGCTATTGAACTGAGATATTTATCTCCGGCTTTTTAAAGCTGTTTAATCGGGCACGTGAAAGTTTTGGTAATTTCCGTTTTTTCCAGATTTCTAGAAAGCAAAAGGGTAGCATTACGGTCACAGCTAACACAGTAGTCAATTACATTCATTCAGTTGTAAATATAAATTACGAGATATTTATTTTGTAGGGTTTATATTTATTTTAACTAACATTTATTTTAGGTTTAAGCTATCTTTCCTGTCAAGCCTTTACTTTTCCCTGGAATCGCCAATGCCGACTAGTAATTTTAGTAGAACGCGGAAATATAAAATTTTAGCAGAAGAATTTGATTTAAATGGAAGGAAACGATTTTGTAGGTG